CGTATCATTGTGAATGAGGGGGAGTTTGGAGTGGAGATCCAAAGCCCATCTGTAGACAATTGGGACATCCCCTCATAGAGGGGTCACAGGGAAGAGATGAGCCAGCAGGGTGCAGTATAGCACCAATGAAACACAACTTTCCTCTAGTTCTTTGGTGCTTTCTTCACCGCACTATCATGACCTCAATTCTATCTTACAAATTGGATTAGACCAGAACATGCACACTGCTACAGATAAGAGCCTGCAATACATGGAATCCAGGATAGATCAACACCCCAGGGCCAACAATGAGAGTAGAGATACCAGTAGGATTAGGGGAAGTTGGGGGGAGAAAAGGGGAATGGACCACAAGGATCAATCTAGAATCTCTTCCCAGGAGAACGAATAATGGAAAAGTGGGTGAGGGGCGATGGAGGATGATGTACGATATGTTAATAATAATCTATAACTCATCAAGGGTTCGTGAGGGAGGGTGTGTGGAGGAGGGGGAAAGAACTGGGGAGTTGATATCAGGGGCTCAAGTGGGAAGAAGATCCTTTGAAAATGATGATGGTGGCATATGTGCCAATGTGCTTGACACACTGGATGAATGTATGGATTGTGATCAGAGATGTAAGAGCCTACCAATAAAGTATTTAAAAACAAAACCAAACTCAGCTTATATAGGAGTATATATGGTACTTTCCCATCATCAGATATATTTACATATCTGTATTTAGACCTCTATAAATGCCCTCTGCCTCCTAGTTCTTTCCTCTTATTTATTTCCTTATTTCCTTTCACTTTCCTCTTGTCCTACTATCATGTTCAGCCTTCGTTTGGGTTTCAGTAATTCCTCTTGGTTACATTGCCCTTGATCAAGCCCTTCCAAGGCCTCCTACACCCTCCTCGCCATGGATTTTAGATCACTGGTTCCCCTGTCCCTGGGTTTGTTAACACCCACTTCCTTTTTACCCTGCCGCGCCCCCTCTCCTATGTCCCTCTGGCGTTGTTTTCTCTTCCAGATTGTTTATCCTGCCTATCTTATCTAGATAGACATGCCGAAATAATAACATGCACAAAAGCAAGAAAGAGAAGCACAGGGAATCCAGGACAGATAAACCCCTAAGGACCTATATTGAGAGTAACCGTTAGAGGAAGGGGAAAGTGGAGGTGGGCGGAGAGCGGGAGAACCGATCACAAAGATCTACCTATGACACCCTCCTCCCAGGGGGATGGACAACAGAAAAGTGGGTGAAGGGAAACATTGGTCAGTGTAAGGCATGAAAAAACAGTAATTTATAAATTATCAAGGGTTCATGAGGAAGGGAGAGTGGGGGAAGCAGGGGGGGAAAATGAGGAGCTGATACCAAGGGCTCAAGCAGGAAGAAAATGTTTTGGGAACAATGATGGCAACAAATGTACGAATGTGAATGTGCTTGACACAATGGAAGTATGTATGGATTGTGATAGGTAAGAGCTGTACGAGCTCCCACTAAAATGATTTAAAAACAGAAAATGATGGTAAGTCAACAATGGAATAATTGACAAAGACAAAAGAAAATATAAAACAAAACAAAAAATCCACTGCCATCTATCGATTCCAACCCAGAGCAACCCACAACACAAAGTAGAGCTTCCCCAGTGGGTTTCCACAACCATAACGCTTTACAAAGACAGAAAGCTTCAGTTTTCTTCCACAGAGCAGCTGGTGGTTTTGAACTGCTGACCCTGAGGTTAGCAGACCAATGAAATGGGTATCCTACTATGCCATGAGGGCTTAGCAATGACAAATTTAAATATTTACTGAATATTAAAAGATGCTTATTTAAGCATGCAAAGAATGTACCAACATATAGCACTATATGTAGAGTGACCCCATTTTGAAAAACCCAAACCAAACCCACTGCCAACTCTGAGTAAACCTGTCAGCTTGAATACAGCTTGGGACTGGAGACGGTACGCTTTATAGACGTAGGCTGTCCCAGCTTTCTCCTGTGGACTGCCTGGTCAGCATGAACTGCCAGTCTTTTGGTTAGCAGACCAGATCTTAAGCAATGCTCCACTAGGGCTCCTTACTTGTTGAGATTACGTGTGGAAATTCTACCTCTATACATGTATACAGTCCGGAAGGAGGCAGACTTAAATATATATTAACACTGTATTTGTCTCTAAGGTGAATTTTTAAAAAAATCATTTCATTGGGGCCTCTTACAGCTCTTATAACATTCCATACATCAATTGTATCAAACATATTTGGCATGTTGCCATCATTTCCAAAACATTTTCTTTCTTCTGAGATGAATTTTAAGGCAGCTTTTCTTTCATCTGTGTTCTGCAAACTTTCTGGAAAAGGTATGCCATAAGAAGACCGACAGGCTGCTTATTATGGAATACTAACAAGGGCAATTTCTATACTAACAGCTACTTCAGCCAAGTTTATTTGTCAATAAAACTGTTTAGAAATGTTTCTGAACTTCTCAAATAACTTACTTTGAAAATCTGGGAAGAAAAGTAATAGAAGTCTTAAAGTTTTTCAAGAGCAACATATTGGAACCAATTTTAATTAGGTTGATTAATTAATAATCAATATAAGTTAATTAATCAATAATCAATAGATTAGTTAAGTAAATTATCCACATAGTGCAACATCATGCAGAGTATAAAAAAGAACAAGGGCCAAACAACCCAATTAAAAACTGAGCCAAAGATTTCAATAGGTATTTCTTCAAAGCAACAAGGACACACAAAAAACACACACACAACAAAATTAGTCATTAAAGGAAATAAAGGTCAAGACCACTATGCGATATTACTCCACATCTATTAGGATGGCCAGTAACATAAAAGCGGAGGGGCGACATGTGGGCAAAGATGCGGAGAACCTGGAACACAGGAGGAATGCAGCACAGTACAATAGCTGTGAGAACGAGACGTGCAGTACGTCAAGAATGGTAGTTACTTTGTGACCCAGCAAATTCTACACCTGGGTACATTTCCAAAAGGCCTGAAAGCAGGAACGAGGGCATGTGTACACCAATATTCACAACAACCCAAAGGTAGAAATAACCCAAATGTCCGTGGATGAGCTGATCAATACAAGGTGGTATATACATTGCAGCTTACATACCAAACTCACTTCCATCAAGTTGATGCTGACCCTACTGACCCTCCAGACAGGGCAGAACTGCCCGAGTTTCCCAGACCGCAGCTCTTTAAGGCAGTATGAAGCCCGTCCCTCTCCCAAGGAGCGGCGGAAGGTTTTAAACGCAGGCCTTGTGGTTAGCAGCCCAACTAGTAAGCACTATGCTACCAAAGCTCCTTAGTTTACGTACCATTCAGCTGGAAAACCGAATGAGGTTTGTTAAAGGCTGTAACAGGGAAAAACCTTGACGACAACATGCTGATTGAAGTAACCCAGGCACAGAAGGACAAGTACTGCGGTGGTGATGATCTTAGAACACAGGGGCTCATTCAGAGGGGGTGGAGAGCAAAGGAGAGGTTACCAGGGACAGCGTAAGAGGAGTTACTGACAAACAGTACAGTCTCTGCCCGTGATGCAAAACTAAATCTGGACTAAGTACTTCACGCCACTGAACTGTATACTCAAAAATGGTTACAGTGATAAATGTTACCACAAACAACAGCAGCAGCTAAAGAAGGAAATTCCTCATGTACTCCAAGATACAGCTTCAGCAAAAAGTAAGAGCCATGTGCAAAGAGTATGCACTACAGGCTACCTCTTGAAACCAGCAGGAGGGTGTGAGAGACTGCAGGTATGTATTTGCTAATAAAAGGCACACCGTGTTTTTAGAAAAGGACCTGTAGGGTGGTAACAATACTGTGGCCTGTGGGAAAAGGAGACCTTTCATCATAGAACCTTTTGAACTCTCAATTTTGAGCCACGTGATTATATAACTCATTTTAAAAAACATCTCCCACCCCCAGTGCCTGCTCACCTGTAGCCTTCTCTGGCATCCTCCAGAGCCAGTTGCTTGAACTCCTCATACATCTTCTTGTTGAAGTGATCGCGGAGGAAGAAGGACCAGAAGCGGAAGAGAGTGTTCATCTCCTGAGATTGGCCAATGCCCAAACGTTTCCGCTCTGATAGGGGAGAAAAGAATAAAAACATCCTATGTCTCAGAGCCAAGCTGCTTGTGCTTCGAGGACGAAGAATCTGGCGACCTAAAATCCTGTTTCCTTTCTCACATACAAGGTGGTTTATACATTGCAGCTTACATACCAAACTCACTTCCATCAGGCTGATGCTGACCCTACTGATCCTATAGACAGGGCAGAACTGCCTGAGTTGGCTCATCACCTGCGCCGCCTTCAGGTATTTAGCTGGTATTTACTGAGGAGCTTTCCTCTGTGTCAGGAGACCCTGAGTAACGTGAACAGTTAACACTTGACTAGTAGCTGAGCGGCTGGCAGTTCAAACCCACCCCGAGGTACCTCAGCAGATAGGTCTGGCAATCTGCTTCTGAAAGGGCACAAACCTGGAAACCCTGTGGAGCAATTTAAGTCTGCTTTCCAGGCAACTAGCAAGAACTACCTTTGGGCAGGCCTTATTGCTGGCACAGGGCCCGGGCCTTGCCATGACCAGGTAGCAAGAGTTGCTGAAATGGGTCGTCCTGGTCTAGTCCTTTACGTCAATCAGCACCACGCTCACACACAGCTACAATATGGCAGAATGCAAACAATCTGTGCATCCTAGCCAAGTACATTCATCAATAACTATTCCAGTAGCCTGAAAATATTAACAAATATAAAACACACAACAGGAAAAGCACAAAATACATCTTCAGTCATGTGTAGCTTAATGTCTTAAGTTCTGTGAAAGAGGCTGTTATGTGATTTGGACACTGGCCATAACACTAGATTATATATAAGCAGCCCCTAATTATGAATAAGTCCTGTTCCTAAATAAGCCTTTCAGCTGAATTGGTATCTAAATACAGAAAGATCATTTAGATACAATTCAAATTTGACACCAATTGTTTGTCTTGGTATATCTCTTAATACATAAAAAACATTAAGTAAACACATCCAGAAACACTAACACACCTTTAAACAATACACACGAGCGCTGTTATGATGCGCATTACAAAGTAGTACCTCCATCATGAGGTACACATTTATTGCATGTACCTCACATTTTCATACACTAGGCTTCACCAGGGTTGGGGCAATGGACCTTACATGCAGTTCAAGTTGGACATTACACAAATGAACGTTCTGAAAGTGAATGACAGCATTGGGTAGCATCAAAATCGCAAGCCTATGTACTTCACAGGACCCCATCCAGAATGTGGGAGGGCAGCACTTTCAAATCACACATCTGATCAAAGACTTGTACCTAGAATACAGAGCCCACTTAACCCAACAGTAAAAAAAAGACAAAAACCTAGTTTAAAAATGGGCAAAGGATCTGAATAAGTAGTTCTCTAATGACGGTAACACAATGCACAAGCACACAGAACCACAAACAGACCCACTTTATATTCGCTGGAAGAGCCAAAACAGAAAAGACAGTAACCAGTACTGGCAAGACAGGCAAAGCTGGACCTCTGAGATACACTGAGGATGGGAAGGTAACAGTGCAGCCACTTTGGAAATCAGTGTGGCAATTCCTCAAAGGCTTAAGCATACAATTAACCTTTGAGCCAGAAATTCTACTCCTAGACATCCTTCTAAGAAAAAAAAAAAAGAAAACTTTTACATCTTCATTGCAACATTATTGAGAATAGCCAAAAGAAAACATATTACCTTTTAAAATATATATATTGAGGGGAAAAAAAAAAAAGAGAATAGCCAAAATTTAGGGAGGGGGAATCAGTGTCTAAAAACTGATGAATGGATAAATAAAATGGCAAATATCTACATAAAAGACTAACACATATTAACAACACAGATGAACCTTGAAAATTGATACTAACTGAGAAAAGAGAAAAAAAGCTGGTCAAGGGGGAGGAAGGGGAAAAATGAGGAGCTGATACCAAGGGCACAAGTAGAAAGCAAATGTTCTGAAAATGATGATGGCAACAAATGTACAAATGTGCTTGACACAATGGATGTATGGATGCACTGTGATGAGTTGTACGAGCCCATTAAAATGATTGAAGAAAGAAGAAAAAAAAAGCCGGCCAAGGCAGTACGTATCTGATTCAAGTTCTATGTATGAAAAATTCATCCACAGAAGGTGGCTTAGGGTACAGGGCTTCTTTTGGGAACAATAAAGTGAGACTTGAGTTTGGCAAAGAGTTAGTTACAAAGCTTTGTGAATTAGATACTTTTGATTGAAAGAACAAGCAAGAGCGTCTGGAGAGGCGCTTTCCCCACAGGATCTTTCAGATGGGGAGCAGCAAACAGCAGACTTAATTCAGTACCATCAGCTCTCTGAGCTGCACACGACCTCCGTTACAAAGACGCACTCAGGTAACACAGCTCTTAACATCTAATCTAAAATCTGTTCTTAACTCCAAGGTCATATAAAACTGGGATGCTTGCTGGGTTCGACCCAAAGGCGAATTTGCTGACACCTGTTCTAGAGACCATTTACTGACATCAGACAACAGGAGCTGGCAGTTCTCTCCGCTTACAAACACACATGGCTTCATAGACAACAAATAAGAACAAACTGTTGGGCCTGGGTCTAACTTTCATCACACACTGTTAATGCTGTCACCCATCCTTTGCTCGGACCCCCCCCCACCCCATTGTATTTCTTACCATTAAGGCAGCGCCTACGATACTTATGGTAGACGTGTTGTGTGAAGCCGTTTTCCTTGAGCAGTTCATGGGAAGGATGCTGGAACTTGGGCAGTGACTGGGGGGTACAGCCATAGCTGCCAACTGCAGGTGTCCCTTCTGAGGGGCTGGAGCTGCAAAGGCCATGAGAAAGAGTGTCATCAGGTCCCCCTCAGGCTGGCCCAAAGTTTAGGAAGGTTCCTCCTCTAGACTGCCATCAGCCAAAATGCAGCCTTGCAAAGAGTGTCAAACCAGGAGACCCAGGGACTCTGTTTGGCCCTTAACTTCAATTCACAGATCTGCTTTACTCTTTGTTTCAACTCCACAAGGACTTACAAAAGAGGTCATTAAGTCTTACAGAGATGGGGAGACATGGCCAGGGTGGTCATGTCATGGAGCTATTTAATGCAGAGATCTGTCCAATGTAAAAAACTGAGCTTTAAAAACCATGTATTTCTCCCTAGGCAGCAGTTAGGAACCATGGTGGCATAGTAGTTCCATTTGTAATGCGATCTACAAGGTTGGCAGTTCTAAACCACTCGCTGCTCCTTGACTTTCAACTGCCATAAACAGTTACAGTGTCAGAAACCCACAGGGCAGTTCTACCCTGTCCTAATGGTCTCTATGAGTTGTTACCGACTCGATGGCAATGAGTTGTTGAGGCAGCATTTAAGGAGCCCTGGTGACTCAATGGTTAAGCAAATGAGGGCCAGAGGAAAAACTGGACCAACAGCCTAGACAACCCTATGTGGACTTCTGCTCTGTCCTTTAGGCTTGCTATGAGTCCTACATGATTCCGCAGCACCCAGCAAAGCAACATTTACCTGTCCTTCAGGAAACATTCCCAGCAGGTCACTGTCTACACTGTTTTCTGAAAACCATGTCTCCTTTTTGTTTCTATCACCCACTGCAAGGAAGTACCTAGGCCAAGGGCTCCCAACCTCGATTCAAGAGTCAACATTGAGGCCATTATTTGGACAGCAGAAAGAAATCTGGGTCTTGCCCTCAAAGATTGAGGAGTGAAATCTGAAATAGGCTCTAGAAGACTTTTTTTTGGTTGTTCAACTTCCACGCTCTCCTGAAGCAGGCAGCAGAAAACCCGTGTCTAGGGGTGGTGGTGGTGGTGGTGGTGAATTCACAGATATGCTCCCTGTGAGTGAGTTAAATCAGGTCCCACCAGCACCACTGCTTTAGACAGAAGCCTTCTTCTTAGGCCCTGATTAAATTCCCCGTGCTACTCGCACGTTCTGGATCTTGTTCCCTAATTTAGAGCAGAGGCACGCACCTTCTCCGTGGCTCGCCCACCCCCCACCTATGGTACCTGATGGAGGCAGTTCTTGGCCTGTGCTCCCGAGAATCCATCACCCAGCCCACATGACTCTCCAAGGGAGGGTTCGAGCTGTGTCTTGTCTTCCTTTTCCGAGGCATCTGCAAAGGTCAGTCCAGGACAGGATTTGTCATTCATGGTATCTCCTACCAAGGCGGAGCAATAAGGACTTCGAGAATGTAGGATTTTCTCCTCATTGTGTATACGGCACCAAGAGTTGACAAAATACTTTCCCGTCTTTTCTCTCAAGGAAATGCTATGGCTGTGAGGTAGAATGGATCTGACTCATTTACAGATGAGGAGAGACGAGGCAGGGGATGTGGGTGGTGTTTGCAAGTGTTTTTGCCCAAGATTTCACACCTAGTCAGTCCTCCTCTGATCGAACCATGGTTACATGGGGGCCCCCATGGCCACACACCGTCTGCTTTACAAAGGTGCTCACTCAATTTCACGTGAGGTCACGAGACCATGAACACAGAGCAGACAGGTCTTACGCTGCTTTCTCAGACAAGGCAGCGGCAGGACGTGGGGACATGGGCCCCCGATGCTTAGCAGCCCAGCAGGAGTTCCTCACCTTGGCATCTATTGTCCGTCCTTCCTTTACCACGGGATAAAACCGCGATGTCTGGCTGGAGTCTTTGAGCTGTGGTGTGCGGGGAGTCCGGGGAGTCCTGGCGTTTCGGTAGTTTGGCGACTCTGGGACAGTGGTTGGTAGAGAGCGGGCGATGGAGGAGGGCTCGGGAGCACCAAACAACTTGTTGGCCAGGGCATCAGTGGGAACTACAAAGGCAGAGAGGGGGGAGGGCCATGCCTGTGAGCATCCATCCCCACAAGCCCCAGCTGGAGGGCCCCCAAACACTTGCCACTGACCTTGCTGAAACCGGGGTGGCCCAGGGGGAACCTCCTGATTGGGATCCACAGGGGGCTCAGGAGTCAGAGTGTCAAACTGCTCCCGGCTGATCATGTTGACTTTCTTGAAGTTCTCGACTTCTTGCTGCAGAGGGCGGGAGAAGGGTGGTAGTACAGGTGTCAGTACGAAGACTGCCCCAACCGGCTCTGGAATCAGGCCCTGCAGGACGCTGGGCCGGAAGAGCTCCCTCCCACAGCCACATTCAGGGAATTCTGGTCCTCGGGCTCTCGGCTGCCATTTCTCACCCTCAGCAACCTTGTTACAAGCCACCCTGAGGCAGAGGAGGTCAGCGCCGGCCCTGCCTTCTCTGCAGTGAAGACGGACATCAGGTGACACTGGCTCCCCGGGAACTCACTGCACTCTCTCCTCAAGGAGCCTCTTCTGCCACTGTCTTCTGATACAGTGGCTGTGTCCCTCCTCTCCTCAGTGCCCGACACTCTGCAGCTTATCACACAGGCCTATATGTGACGCATCCAACCCCCCATTCCCCAGCACATCCACTTGGTAGAAACCAACAACAGAGATGACTCCTGGCAGCAGCAGTTTCTTCTAAAGAGTCTCTCCTTTATTATCCACATCAAAGCAAGCCCCTTAAAGACTTTTAAACTTGATATATGCCTATATATTTAAGACTAAAATGGCAATCTAATCTCATATTGTATTCTCCGCAGAAGCACCAGCAGTTGTTAGGACTGCAGTGAGACCCTCACACCATACCCCTCACAGAGGCAGGAGGGGACTCCCTGTAGTTTACAGAGTGGGCCCCAGCAAGGTGTCAATCATCGCCCCCGGCAGGACACGTAGCCTCATATCACACAACCGAAGGTGGTACAGCCAATCAGACTTCTTCTCCCTCAGGCCCCAGGCTCTTGATGATGCCCAGCCTTACCTTGATCTGGGAATACTCAGGTTCAAACTTCTCGGTCCACAGGTCCTGCTCATAGTAGAAGAGCCCATCATTAATGACCTTGGCCAGCTCAGCGCTCATCTTGGCACGTGAGGTGTGGTTGCCTGTACGGTCCCCTCCTGGGTGCCGGCGCATGTAAGGCGGAGTCTGGGTGACAATGAGGATCTTGTTGACATCCCGGTCATCAATCTCATAGTCTGAGTCCTCGTCAGACCAGGCAGTGAATGTGTTCTTCCGCCCATCCATCTGTTCCATCTCCTCATCAAACAGGAAATCCAGTTCCTCTTGTTCATCCTGATCCTTGGGCATCAGCTGCTGAGAGGGCAGCTGGGGGGGCAGAGAGGTCTGGTGGAGAAACCTGGGCTCTTCTGGCTTCTAAACAGGAACAAACAAGGGAGCAGTCACTAGAGGGGCTGTAGGTCAGGCTCTCTTTAACTGCCACACAAGAGCCTTTCAGGACTGCCACCCTGGTCCAACAAGTCACAGGTGTCCTCCTTGGAGTCAGCCTCAAGGGGAAGAGGATGTTCTACGCAGGTAAGCTTCCTCCATTACCAACAATTAGAGATCAAGTTCCTCACGAGGAGGGGCTGTACCCTATTTACCTATCCAGCCTACATAGATTGGAACTGGGCTCAGAGAAGTTCAGTAAATCGACTCCGCCTTTCAAACACCTCCTCATTATCTCTCAAACTGGACACAACTGCCTTGCTCTCTACCACATCCCAGACTAGAATCACACATATTTAGCAATTCGATTAACAACGAATATGTCACCAGTATGATTAAGCAGATAAGGCCTCTATCCTTAGGAACTCAGAGCTTAGTTGGAGGAAGAAATCAACAGCCAAGTACGAAGCAGTACAGTGGTAAAGAACAAAATTGTTACTTGGAGCCATAGAGGCTGGATGAATTTGCAGGGAACCATAACCCTTAAAACTTAGCTCCCCCACCCCTTTCTGTTAAAAATTCAACAAATAATTTAGCCTAACTAATAAAGAGTAACTGCCTTCAGCCTTATGCTCCTTTTAAGACCTGTGGGAAGATTTGATCGGAACCTTAGAGGAAGTGAGTTTATGTTAACAGGGGAAGGCGGTTACATAACTCCAAAAACATACTCACTGTCACAGGAATGGATCTGTCTATGCAGTGTAGATTCTCAACAAAACAAGGAACTTCTAAGTAAGCGTGCGTGTGGGAGAAGATAGGGAGGGGAGGGCAGTGGGGGAGTCGTGATATGGAAGGCTTCCTGGAAGAGGTAACTACTAAAGTTGCAATCTAAATAACAGGCACAAATAGGTCCGGTGTAGAACATGTCAGAAAGGAAAAACATGTACAAAATCCCAAAGGCGGAGAGCTGATTTTATTGGGATTATGGAGAAGCAGTTTTATTTACCTTAACAGAATACCCATAGGTTTATTCCATACAAAGCCTGTTTAGACCTATCTCTATGATTCATGGACAGCTTCAGACAAGTTCTCTTAGTTATGTGAGTGCATTCGCCTTGTTACGGTGCCTTGGGGTGGGGGGGAGGTACAATCACAACAGTGGCTTGCCTGGGAATCTGCTGAGCTGGTTATGTTCAAGGCAGGGAGGTCAGCTCGGAAGGTTATGGCAACCATTTCCTGGGATGGAGGGGGTCCGTGCTGGTGTGTTTTGACATTCTGTGTGTGTGTGTGTGTTGACTTTCTTCAAGGATGATCATAGGGCCTTATTATGAAGACATTTTGAGGGGGAAAAAACCCACCACCAAAAAAACGCTGTTGGGGAGAAAAAGAGCAGGAAATGCACCAAGGACTTTCCCAACACGCCAGAACACCTTCAGTCCTGGAGGGTAGCAAGGACCCCTCTCCACCTGTGCTCCACGCTGATCTTGGTCCTCCCCTCAGGCTGCTTTTTGTTTCAAGAGTGCAGAATACTTCAGGGAAGGATCAGAGAGAAGGAAACATCACCTTCAGTAGTCCTAAAAGGGCATCCCCTGTGGTACCAAGAATTTTTCTATACAAACATTAAACTCTTCTTTAAAGTTCCAAAGGTGCCAGGCGGAGTGGTCACACTACCTTTTGTGACCTGGGGACGATCTCATACACTTTTTGTAAGGTTGCACTCAAAGCAGGTGAGAAATTCTGGGTGTGAACAGGGGGAAAGAAGAAGAGGTGGCTAAGAACTGTACAGACCTGAAGCTTAAGGACATGTGTGAAGCCTCGAGGCCCCAACCAAAAAGCCTTCCAAAGCTCCTTAAGAGGATGGGGAGGGACACCCCTGTGCTTGCCAAGGGCGCCGTGATTTTAGTTGAGATCGCAACAATTCACTAACATCGGACTCAATGTGTACTATATAAATTGTCTTATTGTTTTTATAGCAATATAAGTTCTCTGACCCATAATTTTAAGATAGGGAAGCAGAGGCCCTGAACCATCAGACACGCTTTTCTAAGTCATCCATCTGGCCAGGGACTCATCTCAGCAGGAAGGAGAAAGAGGCCAGGCCCAGCAGAGTATGAGCCCGTTCAAGTCCCTGTATGAGGTGGAGGCAGAGGCCATGCGACACCGACACCAGCAGAGGAGCAACACCAAGGGTGAGACCATACGGCAGAGGAGCAGGCAGCCTTTCTCCGAGGCCCACGGAGGCCAAGGGACTGTATGGCTGAGTACTGGCGAGAAACTTGGCTGCTGACTGAGAAGAGGTGCTGCTGTGCCCCAATGACTACGTATATCTTACTGTTTCCAGGTCCTGACTTCTCCCACCCTACTAGCTTCCCCAATACACTCCCTTAATTAAGGGGTGGGAGGGGTCAATGGCAGAAGATCATTGTTTCCATTGAGGTTCTAATTCTGCCTTGTCTTTTTCCCTCCCCACTTCAGAGGATCCAAGGGGCTTACACAGGGGACAGAGGACAAACTCAAAGGGAGTCGCTTAAGTGCAGTGACCAAAGGACAAGCATAAATGAGCCAGGTAAAAAGCATGTTAGAAAGAAAAGAGTATGTGCCAAGATTTAGGTGAAACTAAAAGTCCCAAAGATGCACGAGATCTTCTTGTGAAAAATGCCATGAGAACTCACTTGGCCAGGGCACTCTAGAGGAGGTCCCTACCAATTTACAAGCAGTCCCTGGAAACCTCAACTCACATTTTGACACAAGGTCGTCTGCCTTATCTGCTATCCCCTCTGAGCCTAGAACTGTGCGGTGTATAATCTCCTCCAATGCCCAGGGTTCTGCTACATCACAGGGCACCAGGCAGACTGTACCCACCTTGGGTCGTGCAGGGGAGGGACGAGGTCTCTTCTTCACTTCGATCCAGTTCTCAGAATCCAGGTCAGGAAGACTGGCAGACAGACCCTTGGGCAGTGTCTTTAGGTTGCTGACCTCTTCCGTTTTGATTGGCACTGGGGTGACTGCCCGGGGAGAACCAGGGGCTGACTCTAAAGGCAGAAAGATGAAATCCTCAGTCCTCCAGTTCTCCTCTGTCACTAGCTCTGAGCAGAATGGCTGGCAAGAAGCAGGGCACAAGAAAGCATCCACACAGCAGCCCAGAACCCACCTGTCTCCTTCTGGTAGTGCTGGCGAGGCACAAACTCGGGACAGTTGAGGAGCTGAGAGAAATCCGTCTGGGAATAGTCCACTATTGGGGGACCAGGGAGAGGCCATTTCTCAGGCTCCTCCCTTCTTCGAACCTTCTCATCCACTATCTCCACCACCTTGCTGTCCTTGAGGGCCTGCAGCAAGGAGAAAGTGGGGAAGAGGATAAAGAGGAAGGGCTCAGGCAAGCACTGACCTTGGAGGCTGGTGACAGGGTGTGTATGAAAACTGGCACCTGGTCCATCCAGGCTCGGGGGCCATATGAGATGTTGAAACAAAGACACAGCTACCCTCTGACCCTAGCACTTAATTTCCATCAATCTGCTCTACAGAATAACTTGCACAAACAGGTAGCAATGTGTCTAATAAAATTTAGAAAAAAGGCAATGACAAATGTCTGCAATTGGGGGGGGGGGCACCAAGCATGCACACAAAATACAATTTGAATGAACAATGCCACAATGATTGGGGCACTCAGTCATTAAAATATCAGCTCTCCAAGTGCCGAGGTGGGAGATCCACAAAATACAGAAAGGCTTCAAAATATTCATGGGAAAACTGAATTCAGATAATGGGATACCCCCACCAACTTTTAGAAGTATCTCATATATAGAAATCTGTAAGATAACATTTCCTTTAAATTCACAGGTAAACTGCTATTGGTATTTACCTCTGGGGGAAAAAAATGAATCATTTCTAGAAACCTTTACCAAAGATATACTGGCAAAATATGAAAAGAGATGTAAATATACAAGGTTATCATTACAGCATGAACACAGTTCAAAAATTAATAAAAGAGCAAGAACACAAATTACCCACCCACCAGAGGCTACAGTGTAAGAGACTATGGAGCATGAGCAGAGTGGTATACACTGTGCAAATATAAATAGGAATAAAGAATATCTTTTTGTGTGCCACTATGCAGTGGTCTCAGATATTTAAAAAAAAAAATTAAGGAAATGCATGTGTTTTACACTATCATTTACCTAAGAAAGGCAAGTGCATTTCGACACACAATAGAATACAACAGAAGTACCCTATGGGTTTCCCAGGCTGTAAATCTTCCCAAGAGCAGTGTCGCCTTTCTCCTGGCAGAGACTGTGGGTTCAAACTGCTGGCACTTGCAGTTAAGCACCTTAACTTGTAACCCACTGCCCCACAGGAGCAACATCCACATACACTAACCAAGGAGCAGCAAGTATCCCAATTCAGACCACAGCCATGTAAACACCCTAAGAGGAAGAGAGCTGGAGCTGGAAATGTACAAGATGAACCAGGGTATTGGGGTTCCACTACCTAAGATATCAACTACAAAGAATTGAATACATAAGACACGTTTGAATCCCTACACTTATGATACCAAAACCCCTCAGTGACAGCCGCCCTCCCCATCCCCCAACCCGGGCCTTAAAAAATTACCAGGGAGTCTACTCATAATTCTGAAAACTGGCTCAAAAGTAGGAAAATCAAGCATTTCTCTTGCTCGTCCTGTGTAAACTATACTTCCTGATAACTGGCTGGAGAATAAATAAAAGTCCCCCTTTAAAGAGGTAGTACAGCTAAGAACACTGAGAGAGTATCACTATTTTGCAACTCCCCAAGCAAGAGGCCATGATCATTACTGGAAGCACATCACAAGAAAGCTGATCAAGCACCACAAACTACTGTGAAGGGCACTATCACCTGAATGGCATCCTTGATTTGGGTGGGGTGGGGGTGCGGGAGAGAGAGAAGATACCAGACAGACACCAGAATTTGATCAAGCCTCTACATCTACAATAAAGTTTTAAATATTAAAAAAATAAAGTCACGAGAGAAAACATTATTGTATTCGTGAACAGTTCTACAGGACAAAATACCCAGTTTATTCAAATAAGTTGTTTTCAAACAAGGATTCATCTTTTTGAAGAGCCCTGGTGGTTATGCATTGAACTGGTACCTACAAGGTCAGCAGTTCAAAACCAGCGGCTGCATAGACGTGCCAGACCATTTGTGGATGAAATGCTGGGTTATCTGGGATTTTCCTCAAAGTAAGATGTGGGTATAGATGAAGCGTGATCTGACCATGAGCTGATTATTAATGAGGCTGGGTGACAGGTTCATTATGACTACTGGTTTGTCCATTTTTTATACATGCCAGAAACTTCCAACATGTGGGGGGTGGGGAGTAGAGGATGGCCAGACTTTGGGATTTTATTAGAAGTAATCAGAAGAAAGCTGCTGCAGGGTGGGTTTTCTTCCGGCCTTTCACCAAACGCCCCTTCTCCCCAGCACTGGAGAAGCAGACATACCGCAAAGATGAGTGAAATGTCAGTGGTGAGGGCCTGCACTCGGTGGAAGGAGGCAATAAGGGTGATGGGAAGGAAACCGCTGGCATCCATTTTTCGTCGCAGGAAGAAGTCTCGCTCTAAATTGTCCACGCTGAAGTAGTATTCACTAAGGGGAAGGGAGAAGAGGTGTCACTGGGGGATTCCTGCACTGTTGAGACAGGCTGTCCCCCTCCTGCTATGCAACTGTGACCGTATATACGGCCACTGACCTACTTCCCCACTGTCCAAGTAGTTTCATGGCTGAAGAGAAATTATGTTATCCTTTCAATGATTAGCAAACTCGTCCTCCTTGTTTCAACCCCAATTTAAAAGTCAGTGTCTTTCTCCTCTGCTCTGAAAACAATCTCACACTCTACTGCAACGGATGTGCTTATAAAACTCTCCACTTGACTAGGGACAGTTTTGTCTCAGTAGTTAAGAGCAGAGGCTTTAAAATGAAAATGACATGATCCCCAAATCTGAGACACTCTGGGCAAAGTACTGGCACTGCTTACGTGTCTATAAAACATGGGGGGAGGGGGGAACACGGCGGGAAGTCCTTCTCATAGGAATTCAGTAGCTAAAACTATGTGGCATTCAATAAGATACTGCATGTAAAGCACACAGCCCGCCCGCAGCCTGGCCAAGAAGAACTCAGCAGGTGTTTGTGGGTGGTTTGACAACAGGGCCATTAAAACTGGAAGGAAGGAAGCAGGAAAACAATTACCATTACCACTACTACCACAAAGAACTATGTGTTAGCTTATTCCATTTTTATGGCAAAAAAAAAAAAAAAATGAGGGTGAGGTGGGCAACAATGTAATTCTTTTTTCATTAAACATTCTTATTGACTTATCTTACTCATTCCAATATATGCCTTCCCTTCCCATTCAGCTCAGTTGTTCAACCCCATCAGGTGGGGCTATACAATCATCAATGCCATCAACCACCGCCCCAACCCCAACTGGGTGATGATGGGTTCTAAGCAATTCTCTCCTTTTTGTCAGGAAAATTTCTTATGGTGTTGCTCTGCAATAAAATCCTAACTTTATATGGAAACTTAAGATGAGAAAGGTGATTTTCCCTGGCTCCAGCCAGAGGTGGTCATGTTGCTAGCACCTGGAGAGCCTGCTCAGCCTGGCTGACACCTTCTGGCAGTCCCCAGTGCCCACCCACTGTCTCTGCAGGAAGCAGCCTCTGGCCCACTCACATCTGGCGCTTGATATAGTCTTTGAGCAGCTCCTGGTCCACGCTGTAAAGTTCGGTACTGCTGACATTGTCAAAGTAGTAGGTGATGTTGTTCATGTACTTGGGAGTGCGAGGCCCCTCTGTAGAGTCAAACTTGCGGTAGCCGAACTGGTAGTCGAAGTGAGCTACGAGGGAAATGAGCGCCATGAGGGAAAGGAGATCCCTGCCTGCCACTCCCGCCGCACCCCCTCGGACATCCCAGGGCCCAAAGAGGCCTCACACGTACTTCGAGTGCCACCCCGGCCGCGTCCCCGGCCGCGACCACGCCCCCGTCCACGGCCACGGAAGGAAGCCCGCGCCCCACCAGCCCCATCACTCTTCACACTCGATGTCTCATCCTGGTCGTGCCAGGCAGGCTCCGGTTTGGTCTCTGGTTGCCAGGCTGGGGTGGGGGGGGCCACAGGCACGGGCACGAAGGTGGCAGGCTCAGACCCTATGAGGAGAGGGGGCACTGGGTCAGGCCTGAGGGTGACTCTCATGCCCAGGCCCTCCATAATGGGTTGGAGCATACCTTTGAGCTCCCCACGGCTGGCAGGTGTGTGTCGAGGCTCTGGTGGGCGAGAGGGACGTGAGGCCAGTTTCTCCCTGGGCACTTCAGGCTTCATGTCTATTTGCAATGGAACCCATTTGTGTTTGTTCCCTGGGAGACAGCAGGGAACTGTGAGAAAAGACTGAAGGGAGAGACTCTACCTGACCTTCTTCCTTTGCCTTGAGCTTTGGGTGAATGACAATCGGGTCACCTGTCGGGGAGCACCTGGCCCACACGGGACCTCTTTTGCACTGAGGCCAGGGGCCTTCGGAGTAATTCCCAGTATCACGCATGGTAAGAGAAGCCCCACTTCCCAGTCTCCCTGAGGCCCCATGTCAAAGTCCTGCCGAGGAGAGCTTGCTGAAAGCAGGCAGTCCCAAGTAGTGTCCCTTAAAGGAAAGGAGTTGCATGTCCCTTTTCCCCTGCCTAATGGCTGGGATGAGAAGGCAACAGCAAGCCATCTTAGATATTAAGAATCCAAGGGCCAACAAGAGAGAAGGAATTAAAGAGATGCTACACTAGGCCTGGCTTACTTACACTCAACAGCTAAGAGAGAGAAGTAACCTCCTCTCTCGTTTAAACTGTTGTTACTTTGGATCTGTTCGGGCAGCTGAACCCATTTCCTAATCATTTCAGCGGGTCTTGAAACACTCTTCTTTGAACAAAACCTTCACGGGGAAACCAATATAATGAGACACCACAAAGAGTACTCTGAAGCACAGGCCTACTGCTGAGAACAGGGTCAGTCAAGTGCCTACTGAATAGAGAAATGTGTGGATTCATGCCTGAAATGACCACATTGCTGGCCCAGTGGTCGATACCCATCAGCCTCCCACTGGAATCTTGGGGGTGCTCCTGAACCCACCAGTCCCCAGAGTCCTGACATTCCTGTCAGCCTTGACATCTGCTCCGAAGTCTTGTTCAAAGTGACTTACCTTTCTTCTTCTGCCCTCCTCGCTGGCAGTCCTCATCTCCATTCTTTTCCTCCCCCGATTCGTCTGACTTGGTTTTGGGGCTGTCCTTACTGTCGCTCCCTTCTCCTTTCTCCTGTTCCTTCATGTCCTTCTTGGGCGGTGGCTTACGGGCAGGCTGAGACTTGTGGGATTGTGGCTGCAGCAATAAGTAGCAGGGAGATAGCACTTGGGTGAAAGCTTCTTGGGATGGGAGCTCCCTTCATTAGGGCAGGGTGGAAGAAGTGGCACCATGAGACTCGGGCAAGACTTAAGATACATTCTAAGGTCCTGTTTTCATGCCAGAGATACTTTTATGAAGAAGCCTGATCAAACTGGCTAGGAATGAATGTCATAAAGAGGTCATCTCAGTTAGTTCTGGTAACATGGCCCTGCTTGATACTAGCCTGCATGAAATGATCGCTGAAGACAAGGGAGCTACAGCAAAGTGTGAAGAAAGCAGATGGTGCCCGGCTTTCAACTGGAATAATGTCTGGGGTCTTAAAGGTTTATATTCAAACAAGCAGCCATCTAAGCAAGGAGTCAACTAAGCCCACATGGAAGAAACTCACCAGCTTGTGTTATCCAAAGATGACAATAATAAAATCCAAATATGACCAAAGGTAAAGCATCAGAGCTACAATTATGAACACCCAATTTGTGGAAGGCAGCGGGAGCCCAAACCCAACTGCTGAGTATCCAGTCAGACTAAGCCTCGGGCAGATCCCTCTAGCCACAGGCGAAAGGTCTGGAACAGTCTTATTATCAAACATAGACCATTGCAACCCTGATTATGCTGGATCAAGCTCGATATTTGTTCAGTTAACTTCCCTCTAGACCCAACCTACACTTGTTCTAGGTACAAGAATCTCTTGCTTGTTCCATGACAAAAACGTCAATATTTTAAAATCTTGATGGGGGTCTCTTTTTCTTACTCATTCATTTTTATCTTTATATTACTATTGTTTTACCCTTACCACTTCATTTCATTTTTGTTCTTTATCGTTTCTGTTGGGTTTATCAGTTTGTGAAGCATAGGAGGAATGGATGCATAGAAATAATAATAACTGATGCAATGATTTTTAGGGGATGTAGGGTGTGTGGGTGGGTTGGTTAGGAGTAAACAATAAAGGTGGGAGGGGGAGTGAGCACTAGAACTGAAGGTGACTACACAACTCATTTCTTTTATTTGAGTGGAAAGAAATTAGTTAATAATTTACAATCTAGGGGAAAGGGCAGTTATATTCTTCATTCTATTTTAATTAATTTTTTTAGGTGTTAAGTCGTTTTTTGTTTGTTTTTTTTAATCATTAGGGGATCATAAAACTCATCACAATCCGTACATTCATCAATTACACAACTCATTTTAAAGGTGATTTAATCATGGAGGCGGGGAGGGGAAATGTTCTGAAATTGACTGTGGTAATAATGATTGCACAAGTCTTGATATGACTGAACTATTGAATTGTGTGATATATGGATTAAGTGCCAATAAAAATGTTGGAAAAACAAAAGAAAGAAGTCATCCTTCCAAGACAAAGGGCCTGAGACCTAGAGGGGCCAAATCTTCCTTTCCGCAACAAGACACTGCAGGATGGAAGAGATGCTGGCCCCTGGCCTCTGAACTGAAAGTGGCAGCAGCATGTTAGGGCTCTAAGGCCACCTGCCCCAAGCAAATGTGCTAGGAGGGAGAGGCCTGACCAGGAGTCCCTCCTCTGCTGGGGCCTGGGAGAGCTGTCCGGTTCATCCTAGCTAAGGAAGGAGAAGGTGGGTCTGGTGGGAGATGAGGTGGGTTCCTTGCCTAGCACCTTCTCTCCTGTTTCATACATAGACAATGCAAATGCAGTGATGGTAAATACAGACTTTGTAGTAATAAACCCTTCTGACTTCCAATCCCCGTTTGGTAATCTACTCTCTCTACAATAATAAAAAGGCTGCTTATTAATCTCTCTGGGGCGTCCTGGTGGCATAGTGGTTACATGTTGGGCTGCTATTTGCAAGGCCAGTTCAAAATTACCAGCTGCTCTGAGGGAGAGAGACAGGGTTTTCTACTTCAGTAAAGAGTTAGTCTCCACTGGTACAGATAGGAACTGAAAATACAGGGAATCCAGGACGGATGAGCCCTATAGGACCAGTGGTGTGAGTGGCAAAACAGGGAGGGTAAAGGGA